TTATTTATACTGGTATAGAGGCCCAGTAAGGATCATCACTTATTGATCCAGTGTTACTGCAGGAGGAAACCTAAATTAAATTTTATTTATACTGGAATAGAGGCCCAGTAAGGATCATCACTTATTGATCCAGTGTTACTGCAGGAGGAAACCTAAATTAAATTTTATTTATACTGGAATAGAGGTCCAGTAAGGATCATCACTTATTGATCCAGTGTTACTGCAGGAAGAAACCTAAATTAAATTTTATTTATACTGGAATAGAGGTCCAGTAAGGATCATCACTTATTGATCCAGTGTTACTGCAGGAGGAAACCTAAATTAAATTTTATTTATACTGGAATAGAGGTCCAGTAAGGATCATCACTTATTGATCCAGTGTTACTGCAGGAGGAAACGGGAGTACTTGAAGAAAATCTGCAGTGTTTGGTCGAGTCAAACTGGAAGCACTCTTCTCACATCTGACTGACGTGAAATTATAATCAGACAATTAATATATAGCAGGAACGGAATCCCAGGCTGAAAAACACATGCACTAACTACCGTAGACATTGATACTACAATATATTCTATGAATACTTACGAAGTGGCGGAGTTATTGAAGCTGGGTTTAATCCAACACCGGGCTTAGAAGCTGTAGAAAATCCCACAATGTTTGGGTTAGTTCCGTGTGAAGGTCCAGGATTTGAGTTCATTGCAGTGGTGAGATTACTGGAAGTTGACGGTCCATTGTTCTCTTGTATAGGCGCGATGACAGAAATTTGTTCAGAAGCTGTGTTGATCACGGGATGGTCTAGTGCCTGTCTTCTTTGTGCCATCTCAGTAACATACTAAAATGAAAACTAAGGTAATATTTCGATTTTCTTTAGATCAGTGATCACAACATTCATCACCATATATAATGCACCGCTCTCCACATTCGCCAAAAAATTCTCCACATTCGCCACAATATTCACCAGATTCATCACAACTTCAGAAAGAATACTCACTTTCTCTAAAATTTCACGAGTTTCGTCGGTCAGTGGAGCATGCGAGTATTTACAAGTGTTGCCACTTGAACAATGATTTCGTGTATGAAAAAACGTACAGGGAAATTCCTCTGAAACAAAAAGAAAATAGATGAATTAACAGCCTGGCTCAAAGTCTGACTCACTGGCTTACAGTATCTGTGGCTGGTTAACGGGGGCCACATCTAGCAAAAAAACTTACCATGCATCCTGGGGCACATTCCATCGGGATGCTTATCACAGACACGAGTGACATAAAAACGACACAACTCTTTTATCTTCTCATGTTTGAACTGACATGTTGCACCCTGAAACAAAGATATGAACGTTTATTTACTGTATAGCTCTATCAGTTATGAATTGTTATCATTAAGAGCCTGCCAGAAGAAATAGAGCAGCGTTTGGCAGAGGCAGATTTGAAGCACTCTTCTTTTATTTACTTATTAACTTTGCAACCATACATAAAATAGATTAAACCACTACATAATATGGTTGAAGGTATGGTCAACAGGACATGAATAGCCCCATGTGAAGACCAACCTTAAAATGACCAACCTTAAACCTTCTCACATGCAACTGAGGTCAAAATTACAGTACAGGGACTACACAACAGTACACCGAACTCTGCAGGGGTGGAAAAAACCTGTAAACAGTACGACATACTTTAGAACATTTTCCACCGCGATAATACAGGCATGGAAGAAGCCGCTCTCTTGGTACTTGCCGTCGTGGTTGTTGGCCTTTTTCTCGCATTTCTTTCTCCTTCTGTATTTGTCGTAGAAACCATGCCGATGGTTTTTTTTTCTTTTTCTTCTTCCCCCCGCGCTTATTATCTGGAGATATTAAGATATTTCTTGAGTTGATTTTGCAGCTAGGGGAGGTAAAGAAAGCCGAGGGCGCCTGGAAGGGAATATTTTACACCAAAAGTAGTAGAGGAAACTTAGATTAAACGACACACTTACTTTTCCGTTGATCGGATAGTTCCTGTTGAAAAAATTAAAAAATGTCATTTAATAATTGGGAATATAAAATAATGAAATGTGTAAGGTCGAAATTTAGATCGGATTACAGTCCGATCAGGAAAATGACAATCCTAAAGAAGAAAGTGGGTTAGAAAATTTTCTGCACGTAGATTTTTATAGCAAAGAGGATTTACTTCAAATTTATAAGAAATTCGTATTAGTAGCTAAAATTAAAATACTGCAATTGCATTCCCAGCTACACACGTAAAAACGCACAAGTTGTTACAGGTCTGCAAACAAGTTGTTACAAATCTGTTCACAAGCTGTCAACAAGTTGTGTTCGCACTGCTTGTTCCCAGTTGTTGCAACAAGTTTTGATCAAGCTGTTAACAACTTGTAACAAGCTTGATGGCATTATCAGACTTGTTACAAGGTTGTTCTAACAAGTCTGATACAGTCATGATATAACAAGAATGTTACAAGGTTGACGACACAAGGTTGTAACAATACTGCTATATCATGACTGTATCGGACTTGTTGGAACAACCTTGTAACAAGCCTGATAATATCAACAAGGTTGTTACAAATTGTTAACGGCTTGTTCCAAACTGGTTGACAACTTGTGACAAGCAGTGCGAACACAACTTGTTGACGGCTTGTTGACAAACATGTTACAAGATGTGAGATTTTTGCGTGTGTACTTTATGGCGATACATAAGAATGCACGTCATCAAATTTATTTGAGCCAAGGTTTACTTCGTCTTGATGTACTTGTCTTACATTCAGACGGATGATCAAGACAGAAGATGGGTAACGCAAGGCAGAAGTGTTACAACCTGTTACAACAAATATTACAACCTGTTGTGCAACAGTAACATCAAAAGTGTCGTTGGACAGCATAGACAACAGACTAGGAGCACCAACATTTTCTTTAACAATAACAACACTTTTCTCTTGTCTTTCTAGAGAAGATCTTTCTTCACCGCGGGGAGAATGTCTTCTCTTTTCGTTGCCATGACTTGCTCCTTTCGATAATTCATAAGAGGGTTGTCTTCCTTGCGATCTGTTACCGGGAGGAGATCGTTTTCTCTGATTGTTGTTATTTGTTTCTTTTTGTCTTTCGCGAGAAGATGCGTGTTGTCCCCTTGGTTCGTGTTGTCTTTGAGGAGGGGGTGACCTTCTCCGTGATCTTTCACTGCTAGGGTGAGGTCTCTGCTCATTTTTACTACTTGTTTCTTGTGCTCTTGGGAAAGAAGCTCTTCTGTTCTGATCTGTATTACTTGCTTTTTCTTGCCAGTCGCGAGATGATCTTCTCTGGTCATTCCTGTGCCTTGTTCCTTGTTGTTTTCCCGGAGAATTTCTCTTCCAACTGTTGTGACCCGATCCTTGTGGTCGTTCGAGTGATGTTCTGTTTTCATCCGTATAACCAGACTCCACATCACTGTGAGACATAGATCTTGTTACTCGTCCTGTGTACGATTGCTGTCTGTTGGTTGACGGAATGCCCTACAATAAAAAAATAGCTGGGTAGGTTTGGTTTGAAGTTGAGTATACAAAAGTTTATAAATCCTCCAATACCTTATGATTTTGTTTTCGTTTCCCAGTTTTGTTTCTAGATTCATCATCAAATTCTTTCCTCTTTAGACTCTCACTAACTCTTGTATCTTTCTTGTCACGTCCTGCTTGCTTTTCTTCAAAAACGTTCTTGCCTTTTACATCAATGTCCTTATTTGGGAAAGTATTTGTTGTGACTAGACTTGTTTGTCGTTGTGCTGCAGTTGGTAAATTGTCTTTGCGACCACTTTGCTTTGTGTTCTTTGGACGAATATCGTTGTTGCCAGATGGAGTGTTATCATTTTCAGGTGGTGTAGTAGAATTCGTGGCCTCTGGGATAGATAATAGATACGTTCAGTTATTTCTGAAGCAACTTAATGTCAGAATTGACATCTCAATCATAGTAAGATGGTGGTGGTGGTGATGATGATTATGATGGTGGTGATTGTGATGATGTTAAAGCCTAGTTCTCATTCATCGCAAACCGTCGGCGATGGGAGCTTTGCGACGTCGGCGACCGCTTGCCATTTATGAGAACACATCAAAAATTATATCGCCGATTGTCCGTAATCGTCGCCGACCATCGGCGATGACATCGCAGGAAACAAAAAAGTTTGTTTCTTGCGACCATCGCCGACTGCCACCTGCTTGAAAAATCTATGAGAAATGAGTAAAAGTTGTTTTTCCTCAACAAGCAAGGAAATAATCAACTGAAGTTTGACAGAAATCATGAACTTTACGTTGAATGGGGCCATTTTGTGCCTTGGTGGGAAATTTCGAAACACATCGGCTGTCATCTGCGACGATCACCGATGTATGAGAACTTTCGTGCATTCGCGCTCGGCGAGTATCGGCGATAAGCGTCGCCGATCGTCGGTGACAGTTTGCGATGAATGAGAACTAGGCTTAATGATGGTGGTAATGATGATAATAATGGTGATGATGGTAGTGGTTCATAGGTTGTATTATAGGTTGGTTATGATTGTGAAGATGGTGATAATGATGATGGTCAAGATGATGACACCATACCTTCTTGCATATTCTTTTCGACACAATTACTTAGTTTTTCACTCAAATTTCGTATCCAATCAAAAGACGAAACTTTCTGCTCCTCGCTGCTTGACTCACTAGTCAGACTTGAATATCGTTCTCTCTCCTTTGCCCTGCGTGTCGCTCTCGTACTCAATTCAGTGTCACTGTCCATATCAATAAACAAATCACCCGAAGGAGACCCAGGGCTTTGGGGTACAGGGTTTTGTTTTACGTCAGTTTTAAACTGGTCTTTGACTTGAGAGTTTTCCAGTATGTCATTGTGTTGTCTGGGAGAACTTTGAGACGGTCTTTGTCCACCAGCGCCACTGTCAATAGCGACAACCAGATCACTGGAAGCTGGGCTGACAGTTGTAGGTTCTTGTTTACTGTCATTGTCTTGTTTAGCAGCCTCGGAGGAATCAGTGTTTATTGACACAAAGTCTGGCTTAATGACCGTTACAAACGTGTTTGCATTGCCTTGCTTACTACTATCAGGATTTAGCGTAACAATGTCTGGTTTAATGTCAGTTTTGCTATCATTTACGTTGCTTTGTTTATCAGTTGCAGACAAATTCATACAACCTTTTTCATTTATATCCTTGCTCAGCGTTTCATTTTCACTGTCAATATTGATAACCAAATCATGAGAACTCATACGGACTGTTGCAGGCTCTGGTTTAATGTCCATTTTTGTTTGGGCTGTGTTGCCTTGTTTAACAATACCACTAAAAGCAGGGCTAGTTACTGCAGGGTCTGCTTTAAAGTTTATTTTTCCTTGGGTTATGTTGCTTCCTTCTTCAAGATATGGCTAGAACCATGGCTAAATACGGCAGGATCTGGTTTAATGTTTACTTTAGTTTGGGTTGTGTTTCCTTGTTTAAAAACATCGCTAGAACTATGGCTAGTCACTGCAGGGTCTGACTTGATGTCAACTTTCAACTGGGTAGCGTTGCCTTGCTTTCTGGTATCAGGGGAGGTCGTTACATCATTGTCTAGTCTGGGCAGGCTGGATGGTTTGCGAGTAGATGATTTGCGATCGCTTTCTCCATCAGTATTTAGTGTATGTGTGTGCCTATTTATCTCATTGTCTAGTTTATCAACTAAATGCCGTTTAGATACTTTCCCGTTGCTCTGTCCATTATTGTCTGCAGGTTTAGAATTCACGTTTGATGTATTGCTGCTGCTTTTTTCAGGCGTTGCTTTTGTTACACTGTCCACAGAAATCAATTCAGAGGCTTTTACATTGTTTTGATTATCTGTGTCAGATATACAACTTAACATGCTTAATACTGTACCGTGGCTGTGTTCAGGACTTGATAAGGTTATATAAACTGGCTGACAATTCGATACAAATTGATTCATATTTAATGAATTGGCTTGGTCGTTGTCAGGATTTGCTATTGTTGCAGTGTCTAGTTTTGAATTTAACTCAGTTTGGTTTATAAGAATGCCTTGTTCCTCATTGTCAGTATCAGAAATCACAATTGGCTGAATTTTTCTTTGCTCACTAGCATCAGGATCCAACTTTGGTTTCTTCAGTTGAGCATCTAATACACAGCTTTCTGTATCTGTAGAAGGGTTTTGTGGAGCTGTGCCTGTTCCTACATTAATTGGCAATGACCTAACACCACTCTGCCCATCCAACTCAGACGTACTTCCCATTGGCTGCTCCTCGTCATTGGAAGACTCAACAACATTACTTCTTTCAACAAAAGAGCCACTACCGTCCAAAACTATGTTATCAGTCTGTGCTAGAGACGGCTTTTTAATTGTTGTGGTATGTTTGATTTCAGCTTTCTGTTGCTCCTGGCCGGGCATCGATATTGTTAAACTCAGATTTATGTTGATGTTTTTTCCATCCGATGAATCTGAAACTGTAACTGCATGCTCGTTCCTGACGCTTCTTCGAAATGCATTTGTGGTTTCACCTGTCTTATGGATATTTTTGCTGTCAGGAGAGTCGCTTACTGTAATATTTTCGTTATCAATGCTAGGCATATTCCGCAGTTCATTTGTAGTCACAGTTTCTCCCGTCTTGTGGCCGGCTACTTGCTTCCCTTTCCCTTTATCAGCGATAGTTTTAGAAATCACAACCTTCTTTCGAGCTACGACACTTGTTTCTTTATTCCCCTGACTTCTAGCTAGAATATCGTCAAGTATGTTCCCACTCCCAAACCCCACACCCTTGTCATGGTTTGTAACTGGTCCACTCTCCCCCCTGGGAGGCTGTTCTATCCCTCTTCCTCCAGGGGGGTGTCGTGCACTCACTGGCATGGATACCAGCACCCCACCTTTCATGACTTTTCGAACTTTTGGTTTTGTTTGTACGAGTGTGATGTTTTGTTCCGGCGATGGGGTTTGTTGTTGTTGTTGTAGCTGTTGTTGTTGTTGCTGGAGTGTGTTCAATGTTAGAATGGGTTGTTGTTGTTGTTGTTGTTGTTGTTGTTGGTTTAATGTTAGACTCTGTTGTTGTTGTTGTTGATTTTGTTGTGCTTTTTGATCTTGATTCCTTTCCAACTGCTGTTGTTGCATAAACAAACGGAATTTATCAAAAATCTCCTTGTTCTGTTGCTGTTGTTGGAACTCCACTCGCTGTTTCTTGGCACTCAACGTTGAAATGGCGTTCATAAAACTTTGTATGCTAGCACGATCGCTCCAACGGGACAGAACTGACTCGTTTCTTGCTTCAGATTCACTGTTTTTCTCTGAGTTAAGTTTCGTGCCTTTAGTGCTTTTCCCAGAGAATGGGGAAGCCCCATTTTTGCAAAATTGAATGTTGTCATTCGTCCCTTTAGAACTATCGCCAATCAAAGCCGGTGGACAGTTAATCGCCTCTTCTAGGCTAAAGAATGGCATCTTTTCTACGTTATATCACGATTTTCCATTAAAATATTTAATATTTACTTCGATTTTTGACCAAAATAAAACGTTTACCGAATGTATAAAATTCTTTATCAAAAAGATTCCAAAATACTCAAACAATATGAAGTACACAAGGATGTGTTGCTCTGACCGCACAGAGTGAGAGGCTCATATCTGAATTGGCAAAGTTAATTTTTTTGTTTTATTTTATTTATGTTATTTATTTTAGTTTATTTATAATGTACAAAGGTTGTCTAGACGGTCTTAAATCGAAAAATTGCCGAAAAATTGCAAAATTAATACATAAATTGGATTGTATTTTGTATCCGCATTATATATTTTAATACATAAAGTATTGTATAGAAATTTCTCCGCTGTGTGTTGTTACAGGCAGGCTCACCACGTGGAAAATAAAATAAATAAAAGAAAATTAAAATATTATTTATATTGTCTAAAAAAGCGCAAATTTCTTGTATTATTTTACAAATATATCTATTTAAAATGAGTGGCGGTGTTTATGGAGGAGGTATGTTGTCAACTAGTTTGAAATTTAAGCAATCGTATTGTTTTTAGGCTGTTCAAACGGCCCGAATTTTGACTGAAATATCAACTGATGAAGCTTGTAGTTTTATGTATGTTTATATATTCATATTGATGTAGTTTTTTTTTTAAATAGATGAAGTTGGGGCTTTGGTTTTCGATGTGGGTTCGACTTCATTTCGTGCTGGTTTTGCCGGCGAGGATGCGCCAAAGGTGAGAATTTGAATATAGCATCCACCAGGGGGGGATTTATAGGGGGGATTTATAGGGGGGGGGGGTGCCTGTTGGCCTTGGTCAATAGGAGCGCAAAAAAATCAAATTCAGAAATATGGCATGATTTTTAAGGTTTTTCCTTTTTTGAAGTCAAACTGAAGCTCATAACTTAATGCCCATATCGCAGGAAATGGCATTTCTAGGGTTTTAATTTTCAAAATTTTCCATGGGGTGTACCCCTCGAATCCTTGAGCCGTTAGGAAGCCAATTCATTTGAATACTCTCCCACCACCCCCTAAAGAATTATGAAGAAACACTCGGCTGCTCACCCAGCACCACCCTAGAAAAACCTTGTTGGATCCACCCCTGGCATCCAGACTGAAAATTAAGTTTTATTTTGCATAGGAAATAGTTTTGTTGCAGAAATGTGAGATATTTTCACCTAATCTTTAGGCAGATGTCCCAACATTCATGGGTGTAACTGATGACTCCAGTAAAGCAGAGATCCCCATGGATACAGATCAGACAACATGTACAGTATTTGCTACAGATGTACAGACCATTATAGTCATTGAGATAGAGTTTGAAATCATTATATTTATGTTTTATACAGCTGAGAAGCATGTACAGTATTTGATACAGATGTACAGACCATTATAGTCATTGAGATAGAGTTTGGAATCATTATATTTATGTTTTATACAGCTGAGAAGCCGGCCCCGTCTGTGCCGAAGAAATATTTCATTGGAACCAACTCACTTCATGTACCTCGAGAAAATATGGACATTGTTAGTCCCCTTAAGGATGTCATGAGTAAGTTATTAACTCGTTAAGTCATATTGCACCATAATGCACCATATTATTTTACTCTTTCTAATGCCAGACGATTTTACTCGTCAAGCACTGGCACTCAATGGGTCCAGAGAAAACTACAGTAGGAACCATTATAGCAACATTGTTTCCTAGCCATGTTTTCCATGGGCAGAGATGTGAACCCTAAGTAACAAAAATGCGGGTGATATATAATTTTTGACATGACGTCATTTTTTGTTGTTGAGAAAATTGATTGGTGATTTATAAAAGCCTTGCTAAGCCCCATATTTCTAACTTCCATAGATATTTATATTCTTGTTTATGACAAAACAGATGTATACAAACGTCTTAAGAGTTAAGTCTAGTTGAAGTAGAAGTAGATGTGCGCATGCATACACTCTACCAACCAAAAACAGAACAACGAATCAAGAATCAGAAGACAGAATCACAGAATGCGGGTGAATTGCTATAAAATTTGCTAATGCGGGTGATTTTATGTGCCAAATTTTCCGTGTGTGATGATTCCAAAATGCGGGTGTCACCCACTTAATGCGGGTGAGTTCACATATCTGCATGGGTAACAGGGTAAGCAAAGGGCAAACCAACGAACATTGTTTATATGCAAAAATCTGCCTGCGTGTGATGCTTGGGAAGATAAATTGATGGAAAAACATAAGATGATAAATGTTGATGGTGTCCAATTATTGAATATTTTCAGTTGAAGACTGGGATATGTTTGAGAACCTTGTTGAACATGTTTATAAACAACACATCAGATCTGATCCTTCGTTACATCCTGTTCTCATGTCAGAGGCTTCGGTAGGTATCATTACTTCATAGACATTAAGATAGCTTCATCAGTTCTAAATGGTTCTCTCTAATCCATGAAAGTCCAGCATTGAAGTACAGAGTATTGATCCAGTGTTACTACAGGAGGAAACCTAAACTAAACTATAACTTTATTTATACTGGATACTTTAGCTCTATCAGTTCTAAACTGTTCTCCCTAGAGGTCCAGTAAGGATCATCTCTTATTGATCCAGTGTTACTACAGGAGGAAACCTAAACTAAAGTAACTTTATTTATACTGGATACTGTAGCTCTATCAGTTCTAAACTGTTCTCCCTAGAGGTCCTGTAAGGATCATCTCTTATTGATGCGGTGTTACTACAGGAGGAAACCTAAACTAAACTAACTTTATTTATACTGGATACTTTAGCTCTATCAGTTCTAAACTGTTCTCCCTAGAGGTCCAGTAAGGATCATCTCTTATTGATCCAGTGTTACTACAGGAGGAAACCTAAACTAAACTAACTTTATTTATACTGGATAGCTCTATCAGTTCTAAACTGTTCTTCCTAGAGGTCCAGTAAGGGTTATCTCTTATTGATGATTGATGCAGTGTTACTACAGGAGGAAACCTAGACTATACTTACTTTATATTTATTTATATGGGATAGCTCTATAACGTACAATCAATGAAATTGTAACAAACCCTTATTTTACTTCAGTGGAATGTGCGGCCAAAACGAGAAAAACTGACAGAACTTATGTTTGAAAAATATGACATCCCAGCATTCTTCCTGTGCAAAGATGCGGTGTTAACAAGCTTTGCCCATGGTCGATACACAGGCTTGGTGATTCATTCAGGCAGTAACCTGACAAGCGCAGTTCCCGTTCACGATGGTTATGTGTTACAAAACGCGATTGTCAAGTCTCCGCTGGCTGGAGATTTTATTTCAGCTCAATGTCGGAATTTTCTGGAGGAAAAGAACTGTGAAGTGGTTCCGCCTTATTTGATTGCATCCAAGGTGTGTGTTGTCAGCTAGTTGAACATAGGGAATGGTGGATTTTCAGTGTTACAGTATGCACCCCTTTTTAACCCATTAAGCTGCAGAGCTTCCCAATTGACAAGTAAAATTGCCTGGCGTTAGACAAGTAAAAAATACTGTAAGTAGGGCGCATTGCAGCTGAATGGGTTAATTAGAGACATTGTCAGATTTTTTGGTTAACCCGTTGAGCTGCATACTGTAGCTTCCCCATTTACGAGCAAAATTGTCTGGTGTTAGACAAGTAAAAAAAATAAGTAGGGTACATTGTGGCTCAATGGGTTAAAGATACTTGAGAAGTTAAGATTGATATTCACGGCAGACCACTAACGTAAACTTCAAATCGTATTTTGAGTTCAACTGTTAGGACTGTTAGCTGTTCAAAGTTAAGACAAATTGAAGCATGAATTAGCTACAGTATACTTAGATGTCGAAAACAAGGATTTTATGTTTTTATGAAATCTGCAGGTTGTTGAAATAAATTTGATGATTTATCTAGGAAGCTGTAAAGGATGGTGATCCTCCAATATTCACAAAGAAAAATTTTAGCAACATCACAAAATCTTATCACAACTATATGACTAAGGTATTGCCACATTTCTAAACGTCTTACAGATGCAGTCTTTCTCATTTCTTAGCCGCCTGCTAAAGTAACCATGTAAAGAAACTTGTAACAGAAAAATATCTATACTTTTAGCAAATTGTTCAAGATTTCCAAGCTAGTACGCTACAAGTTTCAGATGGACCATTTGACGACAGGTGGGTTTTTCCATTTGTGAACCATCTTTCCCAATGGGTTATTTCAGCTATAGACTAAATTTTGATCAAGGCAAGAAGAATGAAATCGAACATCACAGCTAGAAAGAGCGTCTTAGAATGAGTAAAACTGCAAAGATTGGTTGCTAAATGTTGTAAGGGACTGGTCATAAAGTAACTGCTAGGGTGGGCTGGAGGTAAATCACAAATTTTGCCAATAAGTTCGGTGACCCATCTTAGGTTGTAGATAAAAATTTCAAAGCCCATCTAATCTTACAAAAAATTTTCATGACCCACCCAATCTAAATTGGGGAAATACACTTTTATAATAATAAAAAAACTTGCAGGTATGAACATTGTAAATATACATGGCACTGTATTGACATACATAATTCCACCAAGCTTGACCAACACGTTGACAATGAGCTTCTCTCCAGTTGATTGTATTTGCTGTGATTCGACCACTTCTTGTTGTTGTATAAACAAAGTACTGGCTTCAATAGCATCATTTGCATTTGATAATTTGGATAGTTTTGTTTACTTTTACTATTAATATCTTTATTTTTTGAAGTAGACATGCATGGGTTTTTGTTTGGTGGCCCAACCGTGGACATACAAAAAAATTGGCGGCCCATCGGAACTGCCCAAAGATTTTCCATGGCCCATCCCAAATCACTCCAGCCCACCCTAGCAGTTACTTTATGACCGGTCCCTAAAATGAAGAAAATATAGCTCTGTGAAGTTCGCAAATTTTGTATATATTTGTATTACGCTCGGTAAAAATAACCACTTTCGGCTCAAAAATGGTTATTTTCCCCGCGCGTAATACAAATATATACAAAATTTGCGAACTTCACAGGGCTATATTTCAGTTCCTCATTTGCAACAATTCACAACCAAACTTTGCAATTTTACTCATTTTAAGATGCTCTTTCCAGCTATGGTAATGGATTTAGTTCTTCTTGTCTAGATCAAAACTTCGTCTAATGCTGGAAATGGAATCATCCATTGTGTAATTACCAACTGTTGACTAAATTAACCAGTTTACCTGACTTCATTTTGCAGTTTATTTGGCAGTATTCCCACAATACACTACGAGTTTCCAAATGGTTATAACTACAGTTTTGGTGTAGAAAGGTTTCGCTTGTGTGAAGGATTGTTTGACCCTAGTAATGTCAAGGTACTGTTTATAATAGATCACACAAAAAAAAGATAATAGTGATTTTAAAACCGTATAAAGAGTTTTGAGGCGTTACGGCTGAGATTTTTGCACATATTTTGAGGTGTTTTATACGCCGGTAATACAATCTAAAAACACCGTGGTCAACACCAAGAATTTCTGGTTAATAAATTAAATCCATCTATAACATAATCTGCCTAATGGATAATTTAAGCTATAGACGAAGTTTTGATCTAGACAAGAAGAATTAAATCCATTACCATAGCTGGAAAGAGCATCTTATGCGTAATTTAATGTTGGTTGCGAATTGTTGTAAAATGACAAGAATATACTGTAAATTTTGTATATATTTGTATTACACGCGTGAAAAATAACTATTTTTGACTAAGGATGAGCCGATTAATCTGCCAAGCCGATTAATCTGCCGATAATCGGCCAATTTTTAATAATCGGTAATCGGCCGATTATTTCTGAATAATCGGCCATTTGCCGATTATTGACCAGTTTCTATTTTCTACTAGAAATAAATGAAAATCTGTGTATTCATTGCGTTTCCCATGACCGGAAAACATTGTGTGCGCACGGAAGACCATTACATGAGACAAAAGAGAATGTCATGAAAACTTTTCAATTTGTATCCAGCTTTAGAAGGAAGGAAGAAGCGCTTTGCTACATTAGCTTCTCAAGTTTCATTTCAATGCTTAAAAGCATCTGAGGTTCATCAGGACAACTAACGCCTACTGGTAAATGTGTTAATGGCAATAATCGGCTTTGGCCGATTAATCGGCCGATTATTTGGTATTATCGGCCACCGATTAATCGAATCGGCTAATCGGCAATTTCAGTGATCGGCTCATCCCTATTTTTGACCCGAAGTGGTTATTTTTGCCGTGCTCGTTTCCTTTGTGTTTTGCTCATGAACTGAAAAATAACTATTTACTGCTCGTGTTTATATTTCCAGGGTATTGAAGGCGGTGCTGCCATGGGAATCACTCAAGTTGCCACGACAAGTATTGGAATGTGTGATATTGACATGAGACTAGTACGTCAATAAGAAAACCAGATTTTTATGTTTGCAAACTGTACTTGACAAATGTAGCAGTTTTCGCTTATTTTCTTTGAAAAACCTCTATGATGCTGACCCTGCCTTCTCTATAACGTCCTCGTGGTGAACTCTGTAAATTGGACACTTCTCTAATAGGGACACTTTCCACTGTCCACACATTAAAGAGATTCTACCGCAGTGTCTCATGCCTCAAGAATTTCTCCTCTTTTAGAGTTTATTCGGCAATGTGATTGTTTCTGGTGGCAATACCTTACTCAATGGTTTTGTGGACAGACTAAACAGAGAACTCGCGTCTAAAGTGCCACCGGTAAGTTACTAAGAAATATTTTCCAGCTTGTGGGCTTTGGAAAAAAAATCTATATAGTATGCTATGTCCATGCATAGATACTGTACATAAACATATTATTCAGTTCACTCCCCATTGGAAAGCTGCCGAGAGAATTCGCGGGGCCTGGGGCAAATCCTCTCTGGGGGCCCCATGACGTCATCAGTTCTAAGCTAGACCCAAGTCAGTCACCCAACTAGACCTTAGCTAGACTGCATGTGGAGCTACTGTAAGGGGACCTCAATTTCAAAAATGCTCTAACCAATTTAAAGAACCTACTCAATTTTATGCTCTCGATCTTAAGTTGGGGCCCTGTTAAGATGGGGGCCTGAGGCAATTTGCCCCCCCCCCCCTGGCCCTGGCTACAGGGAGAAATACAAGGAGAATTTCGACGTTTCGAGCGAAGGCTCTTCATCCTGAAGTTAGGCTAACTACTAATTTTCATGTTCAATTTTTCAGAGTGCAAGATTAAAAATCATTTCAAATAATTCTACTTTGGAACGAAGATTTAGTTCCTGGATTGGCGGCTCAATCTTAGCGTCCCTGGTATGTTACGTTCTTGGTAATCTATGGAGCTCTGACTGGATTTTACACACACACAACTCAACTATTGTTTTAAGTCGCGTGTGGCCTGTGTAGCAGTCGCTTTATGTTATTGAGGGTTTTGAAGATTTTTGAATAAATGGCGGATTTTTTTTAAAATTCCGAGAATTTTGGAAATTTTTTTTTTTAATTCCTAAAAATTCGAATTTTTTTAAAATTTCCAAGAATCTTTGAAATTTTCAAAAATCCTCAAAAGCTTCAATAAAATAAAGCGATTGCTACGCAGGCTAAGTCAAGTATCGTTACTTAAACTTTGTTAAAAACCTCATTAATAATTCATGAAGAACAGACAAAGGAAATCACTGTCGTGTTGGTGGTTTTATATGTGATAAAAAATCATGTTCATTTACATAAACTTTAACTTTGATTTTCTCGAAATAGACAACGTTGATTTTTAAAATTACTTCGCCAATGAACTCATAAGATGGGTCGTTTTTTTAAGCCATTTAAAATACTCGCAGTTCGTGCTTTATTAGATATAAAACACTCGTGTTTTATATCTGATAAAGTATATTCCTGCTCGTGTTTTAAATAGTACTTAAAAAGCTTATTATATTGTGTATTTCAGGGATCTTTTCAACAAATGTGGATCTCGAAGCAAGAATACGAAGAACAAGGCAAAAGTTGTGTGGAAAGAAAATGTCCTTGAGTTTTGTAGAAACCTTTTTTGATCTATCGATAAGTCTCTGCAAGTTTCCATGAAATGTCGGGATTTTTTTATCTTTTATACTTTCTTGAAACTCTCTTGGAACTGAACTTCTTGCGCTGGACAACACGCACCAGCGTCATATAAACATGCACTTCATAAACACGCGAAAACATCATGTAAATCTCTTAGCAAATAACGGTTGCAACAATCGATATAATACTATGTATATACTACGCATGCCCATAAAAACTCTGGCGAAAATTGTTGTCGTTGCATTTGCTGATATTAACATGCCGTAGTGGCGATTATAGACTTGTATATAAAGTTTTAGTTTAACCCTATAATTCTGAGGTGCGCATATTTGATTGAGAAATATTAAAATAGCTTTAGATGCAATCGATATCTACGTTCACCATAGAAAGAGCCTCAATACAGCTACAGGATTTCAAGTATTTCAAAGGAATAGCAGTTCTCTGAGCACCCAATCAGATCTCTCCCTTTAGTCGTCTAACCTAGAGGCTAATTTTCAACGAGTGACCGAGTAAAAATGGCTCTGGGGACGAGAATGCCTCGTAGCTTGAACTGCCAACGACACTCTGGCAGCTTGCACCCATCACACCATTAGTAAACAAGATAATTCGCATACCTATTTGATATGGGGTGGAAACACAGGCGTGTAAAGAATGTGTGTCAACCGTCATGTTTTGCGCTCTCAAACTTACTTCGTGGCTATTTTAATGGCCAACTAATAGTCCTAATAGAGGTTATATTACAACCTTAAAAAATAAGCAGGTAAGCTTTAAGGTAGTAATATAACCACTCAGCACAGCATTTTCACATTGGTACTACCCACACTGGTAGAGACAGTTTTAGTATCTTAATAGAGGTTTCTGTTTTCAATCCACAATATATTTCAAACACCCTATATGGGTATACTTGCTCATTTTAATTTATTTATACTGAAAATGCACTGAAGAAATATTTTTCATCGTCATTTGTTGCTATCGAATCACTTCCCAAGGTCAGATGAAAACAATTTTTTTTTTAATTTAAAAATTCGCCCTATTTACATAACTAAGACAGAATATACAGTATAACGTCTGTTGAATACTAGAGCTAGGTGCAAGGCCCCTATTACAGCAAATATTAAATTCAAACGATAGCTATATGTCAGTTAATATATAGTACATAAAATTTTAAAGAAAGTTGTGATATAGTTTTACAATAACATAGATATACAATAAATATGAAGTTAGTTTTACAATAATAACGAGGTTGACACACATTCTTTAAACTTTTCACTGCCATAGAAACAGGCTAGCTTGAAATTCAGAAGTGGGAAATTTCCCCCTTCTAAATCCAGGCTGCGAACAGGATAACCTTGCAAGCGCTAACCAGGCTATTGCAAGGCTCGACAGCGGCACCCAGCTTCTGGATTACGAATGGTTAACTAGTTATTAACTTTGGTTAATATATAACCTCATAGGCGACAATGTGCTTTTAATTAAACACGAGATGTAGCGTGTAATATAATCTCAGGCTGTGGTCAAAGCCGCCTAAGTTCAAACACAGTTAGGGTTCAACAGATGCACTTAGCCTATTAATCCGCGCTTAATATATTGCGTAAACTTTAACCAAGTCCAAAATAAGACCTATTGTTTACAAAAGCATACTAATAAACCAGAGCAGTGTCATTATGATATAGTAGCCGCTTTGTATAAGTCTGTTTAAATAGTGTTTTACAGTTTTGCAGCAGAATCAGGACAGATGGATGAAAAAATTGAAGCGAATGGGAAGAACATTGAATTGCAAATGACTGAAGGCAAAGACGAGCCTATGAAGGAGGCTACAGGGAGTGAACAGCCTCAGCTGGGAAGGTAGGGAGAAATATTTATTAAATAAACTTTAGGGGGTTGCCACGTATGAGATTTCGAAATCGATTTCTGAGCCAGTTTCTTGATATCTGTTGATTTCAACATTGAGGATTATTATATTTTTTCCTGAAGATTATCAGTGACGGTAGTTTTGGAACATTTGAATGTTTCAAAACGTTGGATCAATTTGAAAACAAATACTGTTATAGTGATGAAATATCGTCTGAAATACGTAAAAATGATAGAAGCTTGTCGAGTCTTGCTATACCCTTACCACTTTGTAAGCCAAGAACATTTGTGATTTCTAATTTGGAAATCATCGGTCTCTGTAGTGACACCGAGCCCAAACCAGATTTCTAGAAGATTCTGCCGTGATCGACGTTAATACCAACTATTTTTACACTGAATATCTCTATCAGTTCTAAACTGTTCCTATAGAAGTTCATTTAGGGTTATGGGATTAATTACAGGATTCAAACCTCAACGGTGAAAGGCGCTTATGTTCCCAACCTAATTCGAAATGTTTTGGTTCATGATAAAAGATAAACATGACGTTTCAAATGCAACCAATTTCGACGATTTTAATTAAGTTCCCATTCAGCAATGTTTTTTTTGTTGGTTTTTTTATTTAATTTTTCGCCCAATTACATAACAATATTAAAGAAGTAGAATGAAATATTTACAAAATTAGGGCTAGGAACCTTCTAGAAACCAAAAGGCTTTTGTTTAAGGTCTCTAGGTAATAATTATATAACTAGTTATATTCATAATCTGGCATACAGTTCGAATGTGTTTTTTTTAATGTCAGGAATTTTTTTGATTAATGTACAATACATTAATTAATGTTACGACACGACACGACGTCCAGTCAAAAGGCCAACTCATCATGTGGTAAATCTAACGCATTGATCCGAGAAAAGGCTAAAGCTCTACCCTATAGGCCTGAATATTCTACCCCCCATGCAACCACAGTGATGCAACCAACAATTAAGTTTGATTTAATTGAATTGGACGTTTCAATCAACCTTCGAATTATGTAGAACTCTGTGGAACTTGTGCTTATTTATAGATTTGGTTCATGATACGCCCCAATGTTTGAACTATTTTTTTATATTTATTGCTTTCACCATGTCCATGTACACTGGAATTTTTTTTTCAAAATGCTTACTATGGAAAAAGTATGAATCTTCGCTGGAAATAGTACGGATAAGACTGGATAAGACTCGCAACCAATCCCCGTTGACTCGATAACTCAATGGGTAGAGCGGCGATCTAGATACCCGAAGATGCGAGTTCAAATCCCGCTCGAGTCGACGAATTTTTCGTGGTCGATTGCAGTGTCAGAATAAAAGGCAGATGTTTTTGAAAGACGGAAGGAACTTTGTATTTATTTTGAAATCTGATCCTGTGTTGTGATAATATTTTCCCTTATATAGTATATGCCCCAGGGCTGAGACTTTTTATTAAAATTTGCATAATAAACAATTTGGACAGCTGAGAGTATCGTATTGCAAGAGGAACTAAATGACCATGGAAACGGCAAACACTGACAAATTCGAGACAAATTTAATAAAGAAAAAAGTCTCTTCGCGCGAACAAATTCACTTAGTGGAAAATAGGCTAAAGAATTACTCTATTGTCTTGTGATCCAGATGTCCAACCACAATAGACTTTACTGTTTAGTGCACTTTTGCCCCAATGACCTATAGGCACATCCGCACATGATATCGATCGAGCCCAATCACAAGCCTATCCTAAAAAACATTGGGGCAAGAATACAGTCTAGAGGCATAGAATCCGTTCAGTGCAATATTTCGTGACGATTAAACACGTCCTCCATTTTTGGCACATATTAGTGGTTGGGATGTTTGTGATGCATGATGGGAAGGCGTCAAACTCATTGATGCCCCCCCCCCCCCTGAATTTACATAGAGCAATTGGGGGGACGTGGCAGCAGCTCCAAGACCTGACTAGACGATTTGCCAAGCTTAAAAAAAGTGCAGATCTAAAAACACTTAAAAACATGAAATGTCTAGAAACTGACTCAAACTGTCAATGGCATTTTTGTTGCAACTTACATAATACTATGCAACATAGCATTGGATAGTCTTATGCCAAAATAGTTTTGCTTGCTGAAGACGAGGCTGAAGACAAAATAGTTTTTCTGAGTTATGAGCAGAAATAATTGATCCCAAACGTTGGGCTATATATCAAACTGAAGCTATTGAAAATTGCTATTTGGTGTGGAAATTTCAAGACTTCATGCAGCGAAAAGAGAAATATTTAAAAAATACAAAAACAACTGCTATTCGGCGAAAAAATGGCAAATTATCGGCAATTATTTTTGTAGTTTTTTAATATTTCCCTTTTAGCTAAAGTCTTGAAATTTCTACCCCAAATAGCGTTTTTCAATAGCTTCAGTTTCATATACAGCATAACGTTCAATGTTGAGTATTTCTGCTCATATTAAACTCAGAAAAACTAAAATGCACTGGCTTCAATCCCCCCCCCCCCCCCCCCCCCGAGTTAGCCTTCCAGTTTACATATAGTTCAATGGACGAGGGTGACTCATCTACTCGTTCACGTACATTAGAAGAAAATTGCACTAACTAGAAATCCCAGCAAAAACCGGTCTTAATGGACCATTTGCATTATAGACTAAATTTTGATCTAGACAAAAATTTCATCACAGCTTGAAAGAGCATCACAAAATTAGTAATATTCCAAAGTTTCGTTGCGAAATGTTGTAAAATGCGGATAATATAGCCTTGCGAAGTTTGCAATTTTCAGTCATTTTGTATTACAAACGGGAAATTGATGCCCCAACACCCGATTGGGCTGTCAATTTCCGGTGCGTAATACAAAATGACTGAAAAACGGCAAACTTCGCAAGGCTATATTATCCGCATTTTACAACATTTCGCAACGAAACTTTGGAATATTACTAATTTTGTGATGCTCTTCCAAGCTGTGATGAAATTTTTGTCTAGATCAAAATTTAGTCTATAATGCAAATGGTCCATTGAAACAGTCTAACAATTCATAAAACAGGTGCCCGTATTCAAAACCTCGTGGTTCGAGTTTTTATTTGGAAAACATTACAACAAATAACCAGTAAATATAGTACCGACTTGAACCTGGTTTACACTACCAAAGACAAAGTTTCTGTGATGACAGTAGAAATTTGGTATACTCTAAATTTTATAAATTCTAAATGAGGGAACCTCGGAGGGAACAGTTGACTTGGTGTTTAACACTGATTCAGTTCTCTCAAAGATTGCTTGCAAATCCCTTTAAAACGTAGACGTATGGAAAATTCTACGGCTGTGATCACAGAAACTTTGATATGTAAACCAGCCTTTAAATTAGATGCGTAGGTTTCACTTAAAGGGAAATGGCAATATATTTTTTTATTTTCTCGTTTGGAAGAACATTTAAAATCGTATAGAAAACTCTTTTACCGTTTTTTCATATCTTGCTTCCTTCTACAAATATTTTAATCGAAAGAAATGAAACGTCCGCCATCTTGGATTTTTGTCGATATGCATGTTACGTCACAACAGGGGTCATGCAATATTTTTATCTAGACAACCACTAATCATTTTGCACTCAAAATTATACTCTGTATGCGCTTGGAAATATCAAGATCACTTGAAACCTTTAAAACATCTACCAATCAATATTTGGTCAGCAACGGATACTTTTATATGGTTAATCCCTGTTGTGACGTCACCAAAACTACCGTTAATGAGATAAAAAATGTATCCAAGATGGCTGACATGTCATTACTTCAAGTGAAAATATTTCAAGAACTAAGCAAGATATGACGAATCGGTAAAAGAAGTTATTAAATAGTTTCAAAAGTTCTTTCAAATGAGAAAATAAAAAAATATATTGCCATTTCCCTTTAACACTATGCATATCGTCATATCGTGTAGGAGATGGTGGTCAATCTGCAGTTGTTAGAGTGAGAAAATATATGTTGATTCTTTTCATTATGGAGTAGTCTTGTATTTGGAAACAAAAACTGAACAAAAGAGTGATATTTAGCGCATGCAATATAGTCGACACCGACTCGACAGCTTGGCGTCAAGTCCGATTAATGCCGGCCTGTAATTGAGTCTGCTATCCTGTCAAGCCGGTTTTTCACTGCAGAATTGTGATTAGTTTAGGGGCCGGTTGTATAAAACTCTTAATCACTTTTTAATCACTATTTTGTAGTTAAATAGTGATTAACTCTCAAATACGCGCTTCTTATTGGATGACATTTCCACTAACTATAGTTAAGTTTGATCACTTTTTTATACAACCGGCCCCTGGAACGAAAGACAATCGGGTACCTCTTATCATGAAGACAACTTTAGAAATTTAGAATACTTTCAAATCAGTCGGTCGTAAAATTGCCTTGTCTGTTTTTGAAGTCTGGGAAACACGAGCGGCTGGCTCTTCCTCTATACTATAATATCAAAATAGTGCAGATAGAAAGTCATACTCGTGTCTTCACATTTTTCTCGAAACTTCTAACTGATAAACGTTGTGTCAAAGTGCAAACATGACAACTCATTAAAATTTAATATATTTTTATCTTTAATACATTCCTAATCGGTTGTATATAATAGTTCTTTATCTTGAGCGTTGCCTCACAACAAAGCCGTATCGAAAATAGCATGTGGTCGTTTAGCTATATTGTGTGAGAGTTACGAGACTGTTCTCGTTTATCTGTTATCTTATTGACGTCCATTTCGTTTCTAAGGAGTTGAGAGGCTGTGTCTTCTTTGACGAAAGTAACATTTAGCTAGGTAACGTTTGTGGATGTTTAATTGCCTCACAGCCAGGAATTGAATTGCAAAAGACTCAGTTTAAACGAAAATGTTTCCTTTCTCCGCCTTGTTATCTTAACTGTCTGTTCTGCACTTTGTTGCTAAAGGTTTGAATTATATTTTTACTAAATTACTGTGTGTATTTTTTACTGTACTCTGTAGTTCTGCTGCGGCAAAGTTGAATCTAGGAGCAACCATGGACGAGCCACTGACATCAAAGTCGATACAACTTCACGAGAAAGATGAAACGCCACATGCTTTCGCTCCAAACGGCGACGAAACGAATCTGAGCGAGAACATCGATGAGCGGGAAACATGGTCGACAAAATTAGATTTTATGTTATCCATCATTGGTTACTGCGTTGGTTTGGGGAATGTTTGGAGGTAAGTCTGTGTATATCAGCCGATATTTATACTACCCAACTTTTGTCTTTCGATCTAAAAACTGTCGCATGCAACCTCAAGCACGCAACGTACTCACGATAACGTAGGCAAGTTGTGTACTTGATTTACACAGTACAACTCAAGTTGTAAGCAGGTTACATGCGACAGTTTTAGGCAAAAGTTATGTAGTGTAAATCAGCATTGTTTGTAGAAATTTATAATCGTCTATATAGGCTGCTCATCTCAAAAATTCACAACCGGTTGTGAACGCAATTCAGAAACAATGCTAATTTACTCTACACTACATTTTTCCCGCTTATTCATGGTAGCTAATTCAATCAGTTCATTCACGTTTTTGTGCAAGTACGAACACTCTACAAGAGGCCCGCGTTAAGGAACAGGCCTCGGTTTGTCGTTTTAAAATCGCCCTAATTTAGACCGATCTCATGCAAAACGTCCTTTTAAGGCTACTGAGCATTCGCAAAATGTCGTGAACCCAAAGACCAAAGTGAACACAATTTCCACTATAGGTCACTATACATAGGTGACGACAACTCCATGCACATAGAATAAACCTTATGTTTACATAACTGATCGCATCAGAATGAATTTTACTTTCTGTTCATATAGGTTCCCGTATTTATGTTATAAAAACGGCGGGGGTAAGTTTACGCTATGTTATTCAGGCATGTAATTGTTGTAAATTTGTTGAAAGTTTATTAATAACTCTGTTACATCTGTGGTTATATTGGCATTCTGGTGTTTCCCGCTTCTGCAGCACGCTATGTTTATTTGACACGTCGTTAAAATTTGTAAAAGAAGAGGGAGGTCAGGGGGCGTTGTATATTTGTTGAAGCATTTAAAGTATCTAAGAGTATCTTAAAAGCAAAAACTGAAGTATTACGAGAAGTACAGAGCTTTTAAACTTAACTCTTCAAACTATGAAAGAAATGATGGATAAAAGATCAGTTGATAACGAAGCCAAACTTGACCTCATCTCTAACTGAAATGAAGCATGCAATTCAAACATTTTAAAGTTTGTTAAGTCAACATTTGTATCTTTGCCGTTCAATTGTATATGCCCGCTCAGACTTGTGTACACGTCTCAGTGAAGTCTGACACTCATTTCACTAAAAAGGCTACACGGGATTAATAACACAAATATGTATGCATGCGTTTATATTTGTCATTTTTTTTTATGTCTATATTTGGCATTATTTGCATGTCACAAGTACATACTTGATATTTTCGTGGCGCTCATGGCATACTTTGCTGTCGCCACTGTCCCTCACAGCCGGGACGAGCAAGAATACACAAGTATTTCTCTTTGAACTTGACCTCAGGCTGCTGGAAACACGAGAAATTGATTGTCGAAACTGGGGTCTCTAATATCTGCAATTTTCCACAAGAGTGGCCACTTGTAAAATGAGGTGATGTTGTGACCCTCTAGTTGTCCTTCCCACTGCAGCATTCAAAGTGGAAGCACAGTCCTCTCACAAGACTGAGGTGAAATTATAATGACTATGATCGGATAACAGGAATTAAACTTCGGTCATAATGAAAGTGAAAGCAAACGTTTTATACTCGGATATTAGCAAGCAATGACAGGGAGTTTAAAGATGATGTCCACTCAGGGCCGGATTAACCACGTGGCAGATGCGGCATATGCCGTGGGCCTCGCGCTTATGGGGGCCTCGCGCTTTACTGTGCCACGCCCATTTTAACGAGAACACGCCCATTTTTTATTGGGACACGCTCATTTTAGGTGCCTCGCGAATTTAGGGATCTCGCGCATTTAGGGCCCCTAGGCTTGGCAGTTGGCCCAGGAAAATATGCAATACTCATGTGCATGTAATCTCCAGTTGCGCTGAGCTGTTATATGATCTATGATTCAACAACTGGGCCAGGCAGGCCATTATCTCGTTTATAATTGATGCCAATCAATTGAAATATTGAAAACAATTATTTAACAATTTTGTGTGTCTTTGAATTCAAAGGTTTTCATAACGAGGGGGAGGGGGGTTTGGGGGCCTCGCGCTAAAATCTGCCACGGGCCTCGCGCGACGTTAATCCGGCCCTGTGTCCACTCCGTTCTGCGCATCAGTTCTGCTCATAACAAAAGGGGACCCCCAGATATAAACATTGCTACAAATTTTGCATCTTTCGAAATTTTTTTAATTGAAACGTACAGTTTATATTCATTTACAAGTAAAGCAAACCAGAAAAGTGTTAGATATTCAGTTAGTAATATCATATTTTACAAATATAGCAGTTCAAAAATCAAAACGTAAACAAAGTTCGCGCATGTGCACAGGAGTGGACATCATCTTTAAGCAAGCCTGGGAATGACAGGGAGTTTATGGGGGTAGCCCTGCCATGGGTTCTTACTTTCCCGTTTGGGAACTACTGTAGCCGTTATTGTTTCTTATAATAAAGCTGTTAAAACAAATAAAACAAGCGACGGTTTTATCAACACAGACGTCAGATTACCCAGCGCGGACTGTGAATGTATCAGTTTTTGGTTAATCTTCAACACACATCAACACAGACGTCAGATTACCCAGCGCGGACTGTGTTTGTATCAGTTTTTGGTTAATCTTCAAACACATGACAAAACATAAGGTTTTTAAAGTTTTTTTGCTTCCTTATACGAGCGCTATGCTGGAGCGCTATGCTTATACGAGCGCTATGCTGAGTTATACCAATTTTCGACTTAAGTTCACGGTTGTTTTTTTTTACCGTGGTTTATGTCTGAACTACGAGAAATACTTCAACATTTTCGGCAAAGTCCGTCCTTGAGATCCGCGGTTAGCCATTACTAACTACTAACTATGTCTCGCTGCAGCGACATTCCTGATTCCATACTTCCTCATGTTGGCTCTGTGCGGTATTCCTATGATGTTGACAGAGTTTAGTCTGGGACAATTCCTGAGTCTGGGACCACCGTCTACCTTCGCTACCATATGTCGCCTGGCAAGAGGTGAGATATAGTACCGTCATTGTCATCACCACATTCCATTATAACTAATTTAATTTAATTTAAAAACTTTACAATCAACAAAACGATTGAAAGTACAGACAACAGAACTGAGGAGTCCCAAATTAAGTCCTACCTACACATTGCATCGACATTGTAAAACAATAGAGACAGGTTACAACTTAGCTACAATACAAAATTACAACACACGATAAATGCGTTCCAAACCATCCTTACACTTTCCAAAGTTAATATGAACTAGACGTGGACCGCCCATATATTGCAATCCTTTCTAAGTCAACTGCCTTAAAATGAAGAGACCTGAAATTTGCAAAGAAGGTTTGGAAAATGATCAAGTTAGAAAAAAAAATGTATACATATAGATGACTCAACATTGTGCAGCACAGACATAGTCACAGAATACAGTAAACATCCTAAACATGCATGTGCTCCAAGCTGTCCCTGCATTTTCCAAAGATAGGATTTCAAGAACTATTACCACGTTCGTCACTGTCATCACCTTCAACATCAACATCACCACCACAACTACCATTATCACCATCGCCATTATCACCATCATCATCACCATAGCAACCACCATCATCACCACTATCATCACCACTGCCATTATCATCACCATAATTCTTTCTTCTGCTCTACTCTAGGTGTTGGTATGGCGATGATGATGATTTCGTTTTTGGTCTCCACATATTACAACGTCATTATATGTTGGTCTGTTGTCTATCTCTTCAGTTCGTTTGCAAGCGATGTTCCTTGGAAGGATTGTGACTCTGAATGGGCCAGTGATAAATGCAGGTGAGTAGTGGTGGTGGGCAGGGCTCGAATTTTATCGCGGCAATTGCCGTAGAGGGAGAACAAAATGCCGTGGATCATTGCGGCAACGACGGCAATTTTTTGCCGTATAGTGCAATTTTTATGGTGGTGGTGATCTGAATCATTCCTTGAATTCATTAATAATGGTTTTCAAATTCTTTTGCCAGTACTGTAGATGAAAGACGAAATATGAACGACCTTCTCAAAAACTGTACAAATGGAACTCTCAGGATCAACGCGACGTATCTTCTCAACTGTACTTCTGATGTTTCGAAGCTTATTCCTTCATCCCTGGAATACTTTAAGTATGTATGACGATTGGAGGACCTTTAGGGAGAACAGTTTAGAACTGATAGAGCTATCCAGTATAAATAAAGTTAGTTTAGTTTAGGTTTCCTTCTGTAGTAACACTGGATCAATAAGAGATGATCCTTACTGGACCTCTAGGAAGAACAGTTTAGAACTGATAGAGCTATCCAGTATAAATAAAGTTAGTTTAGTTTAGGTTTCCTCCTGTAGTAACACTGGATCAATAAGAGATGATCCTTACTGGACCTCTAGGAAGAACAGTTTAGAACTGATAGAGCTATTCAGTATAAATAAAGTTAGTTTAGTTTAGGTTTCCTCCTGTAGTAACACTGGATCAATAAGAGACGATCTTTACTGGACTTCTAGGGAGAACAGTTCAGAACTAATAGAGCTTTCCAGTATAAATAAAGTTAGTTTAGTTTAGGTTTCACTGGATCAATTTTGATATTACTTCTCGTAGTAATCATGTGTTGGGCAAGACAGATGGTATAGACGACATGGGCGATTTCAGATGGAAGATCTGTTTATCACTTTTATTTTGCTGGACGGTTGTCTTTCTGTGTCTGTTCAAAGGCGTAAAGACATCAGGGAAGGTACGTTTTGTTTGATGCAATAGAAGGAAGGCCTGGAGTTTTGATGTCCGTTCAAATCAGATGTTAAATTTTAAATTCTACAAATCATTCGTTTTTTTCCCTCCGTCATCATCACGATCTTCACCATAATCATCATCACCATCATAACCAGATGTTATCATTATCACCATTGTCACAATCACCAGATTTCATCATCATCAACATTACTGTCATCATCGTGATCATCATGATCATCATAATCATCATCACCAGATTTCATCATCACCATTACTGTCATCATCATCAGCATCATCATCAACCATCATCACCAGATGTTATCACCATCATCACCAGATTTCATTATCACCATTATGGTCATTATCATCACCATGATCATTAACCATCATCACCAGATGTTATCACCATCATTATCACCATCATCGCCAGATTTCATCATCATCACCATCATCACCATTACAGTCATTATCATCACTATGATCATCATAACCATCATCACCAGATGGTATCATCGTCACCATTACCTTCACGTGTAATTGATAATTCTACAAACCATTCCTCTTCCTAGGTGGTATGGGTGACAGCGACAATGCCCTATGTTGTTCTCTTCATTCTGTTCATTCGTGGAGTGACCCTGGAAGGCGCGGGGATTGGAATCGAGTTTTATCTCAAACCAAAATGGAGCAAATTATTGGATGTTAAGGTGGGTGCTCATTTTGTATTATATTCTTTTCTGAGAATAGATTGGTTTCCTATTCGCTAAGCGCTTTTTTGCAGCAGGGCCTGGTTTGTATGAATATACAATTACTTTATGGTTTCCGTGTTTGGATGGCCTGATCCAAACACTTGGGAATATTGCTCGAGTTAAGAAAAGCGCGCTTTATATACATGTTATTTTATAAGGCCGAATAGCACTATCCATCAAATTGTGATTTTTCAACCGTTGTAAAAATGCTTAAAAATACGAATATCATTCTTGTTTAATCCAGGTATGGGTGGCTGCAGCCTCACAGATTTTTTATTCTCTTGGTGTTGGCTGGGGGACTGTTCTGGTTTATGGCAGCTACAATAAGTTTACCAATAATTGTGTCTTGTAAGTGTACTAGAAATGTATCTATACTGGATAGCTGTCTAACACCCCACGGGATGACACCCAATGTCATAATACTAAGTGTTATTTGTCTTCTAGTGATGCTATTGTTGTCAGCTGTATCAACTGTGGTAGCAGTTTCTTCGCTGGGTTTGTCGTGTTCAGTGTTCTGGGCTTTGTATCTCATCAGTTGAATGTAGATATTGATAAAGTCGCCACTTCAGGTAAACTGACATTTATTTTATCTTTCATCAAGTTAATTGTAAACAAAAGGGGCTTCGGTGATGCATCACCACCACCATCACCATCACTATAACCATCACCACCACTATCATCATCACCACCATCACCACCACCACCATCATCACCACCACCATCATCATCACCATCATCATCACCATCACTATAACCATCACCACCACTATCACCATCACCACCATCATCATCACCACCACCATCATCACCACCATCATCATCACCACCACCACCATCATCACCATCACTATAACCATCATCATCACCACCACCATCATCACCACCATCATCATCACCACCACCATCATCATCACCATCACTATAACCATCATCACCACTATCATCATCACCACCATCACCACCACCACCATCATCATCACCACCACCATCATCACCACCATCATCATCACCACCACCATCATCATCACCATCACTATAACCATCACCACCACCGCAATCACGACAGCTAACCCGCATCTATTATTATTTTTCAGGCCCTGGTTTAGCATTCAATGTTTATCCTGAAGCAATCTCACAACTTCCAATCTCGCCATTATGGGCCATTCTCTTCTTCCTCATGTTGTTCACTCTAGGACTTGACAGTCAGGTACGAACTGGACGAAGCTCAGGTGAGCTTCCCGGCATACCGTGCTCACATAAACAGGCCCTAAATCCCCTTGTACTCACTATGAAGCAAGCAGAACGCTTTGATGTTCAAATACTTGTGTTGTTCTCACTTATGCTAGTGTTGTTCTCACTACGAAGCAAGCAGAATGCTTTGATGTCCTTATGCTTGTGTTGTTCTCACTACGAAGCAAGCAGAACGCTTTGATGTCCTTATGCTAGTGTTGTTCTCACTACGAAGCAAGCAGAACGCTTTGATGTTCAAATGCTTGTGTTGTTCTCACTGTGTCCTCGCTACAACGCAAGATAAAGCACAAGCAACAACATAAGCAGCTACGTTTCCACTATACCAGATAGCTTTCCTTAGTGGCGCCAAAAAATACCTATCCGATGCACAACTTTCAGAAGCTGAGCGAAACAACATCTCTCCGTTGCAATAATTCCTCTGAAAATAGCGTTCCTAAAAGGTACGGATAGATGTTTTTCACGGCGCTACGCAAAGCTATCTGGCACAATGTAAACATAGCCGCAATGTTTTGATATTCTTATGACGACGGTACCTTACTCTTAAGCCTATTTTCGTCTTCGCACGAACAAATTCGCCCAGTGGAAAATGGGTTTATTCTTGTGCTTGCGTCGTGGCGAAGCAGGCTTAAGTGAAGCTTGATTTTCTTTTATAGTTTGGCACATTGGAATGTATTATAGCCGGCGTCGCGGACGAGTGGGGTGGCAAATTCAAGAAATACAAGTCATGGTTTACCGCATTCATTTGTTACTTGTTGTTCTTCCTGGCGCTACCTATGTGTACAGGGGTATGGAGCTCAATTCATAGATTGGTTTGAGTTAAAATTTATTGCTCCTATAAGTTTTGACAAGGCCATTTAGGACTTAACCAGTGGGGGACGAATTTAGGTTGCCAACATATGCCCACAGTTATTAAGTTATCAATCATATTGGTTTTCGGAAATTATCGAGAATTTTCTTAATTTAAAAAAAAAATTTTTCCGATAATTTTTTAAAAACTTTCCGTGAATTTTCTTAATTTTTTTTTAATTTGTCCGACACGGGACTTCACTTCTCTTAATTTTGTTTAGGGTGGTATATACATTCTCAATTTGCTGGACTTCCAAGCTGGTGGCATCTCTCTGATATTTTTAGCCTTCGTGGAAGTTTTGGTTGTCGGGTGGGCATACGGTAATTACGTGTTCTATTTATCTAGAGTTGTTGTGGTTAGAACTATTGAGTATAAATAAAGTTAGTTTAGTTTAGGTTTCCTCCTGTAGTAACACTGGATCAATAAGAGATGATCCTTACTGGACCTCTATGTTTAGAACTGATAGAGCTATCCAGTATAAATAAAGTTTAAAGTTAGTTTAGTTCAGGTTTCCTCCTGTAGTAACACTGGATCAATAAGAGATGATCCTTACTGGACCTCTATGTTTAGAACTGATAGAGCTATCCAGTGTAAATAAAGTTTAAAGTTAGTTTAGTTCAGGTTTCCTCCTGTAGTAACACTGGATCAATAAGAGATGATCCTTACTGGACCTCTAGGAAGAACAATTTAGAACTTATAGAGTTATCCAGTATAAATAAAGTTAGTTTAGTTTAGGTTTCCTCCTGTAGTAACACTGGATCAATAAGAGATGATTCTTGTTGGAGAACAGTTTAGAACTGATAGAGTTATCCAGTATAAACAAAGTTAGTTTAGTTTAGGTTTCCTCCTGTAGTAACACTGGATCAATAAGAGATGATTCTTGTTGGAGAACAGTTTAGAACTGATAGAGTTATCCAGTATAAACAAAGTAAGTTTAGTGTATAGGTAAAGGTTATAGTTTACACGTATGTGGTTCTAATATTGATTTCAACGAATCTTCAGGTGCTAATCGTTTGGGAGGGAATATTGAGACGATGACTGGCAAACGACCTCCATTTTATTTTATCATTTGTTGGAAGTTGATCACTCCTCTCTTGTTACTTGTAAGTATATTCTTACTTTAAAGCCACATTCAGACGAGCAAATCTACTTCGTGAAGAACAATTGTCAAATAGTAGCAGGTCTTTGGTACAGCGTCGGTTATTTTATCAAGCTGCCAACGAAACAACGCTAGGTTGAAATTAGTTGCAACAAGCTTTCGTTGGTAGGGATACAACTACCTGAAAAATACAAAGAGAATTCCGACGTTTCGTGCGAAGATCCTTCATCTGGAGTTACTAGCCCTTGAGTAACTGCAGATGAAGGGCCTTCGCTCGAAGCGTCGAAATTCTCCTTATATTTTTCAGGTAGTTGTATCCCTACGAACGAAAGCTTGTTATTATTGGCACAGATGGTTTGAAATTTGTTGTGTAAGTTATTGACAAATGGTTTCGGCGAACGATGGTGATCAACGGTTAATTCTTGATCTGCATGTCACCAAATACTTGACACAAAATGAAAACTGCATGATAGTGCTCAGTGAAACAACCTTGTGCAACCAGCGCTTGTGGTGTTGTGGTCATCACGCTTGCCATTCAACCTGGTTCAATCCTTGGTCGGACCTCTACTCAAGGTCTTCAAATAACTCCAGGTGATCTGACGGTGAGCATAAGGACTGGGACTAGCAACAGAATAGAAATCCAGTTTCATACCTTTAATCACTTGTCACACCCTGATTCTTTTGTGAAACTGTTTGAAACTTTGTGTATGTGTCTTACACACAGAAATGAATATCTGGGACAAATTTGAGATAGAAATCTAATACCGTTAATGAGATATTGAAGTGATTTTAAACCAGAAATGGTGCCAGGCCTTTTCTGAGTTCCGAGATCACCTGGCTGAGGAGAAAGAGCTACCTTTACATTGACATCAGTAAATGGTTAGACTTTCGCGTCTTCTCGGATAAGGACGTTAAATCGTAGGTACCTTGGATCCCCTATCAATTAAGCATAGCCTGTTGGGAAATCCTCTCACCAATGAGTGAGAAACTGAATAAACCAAACCACGGTTTCTCACCACGTATGACCGTTTTGTACTTTATTTAGATTATTCTGATATCAACGATAGTCCAATGGGAGGGAATCACGTTAGATGACTATAAATACCCTCCTTGGGCAGAATTCATTGGCTGGCTGATTGCATTGGCATCCATGCTGCTTGTTCCTGGCTTTGCTATATACGAAGTTTATCATGCCAGAGGTCTGACAATACGCGAGGTAAGATGGTACTATATTTATACTGGATAGCTTTGTCTCTTCTCTCCTAGGGTCATCGCTTGTCAATAATAGAGTTATCCAGTGCAATAAAGTTAGTTTATGTTTCTTCCTGTAGTAACATTGAAGACTATCAATTCTAAACTGTTCTTTCTAGAGGTTCAGTAAGAATCGTCTTTTATTTATCCATGCAAAGGAAAAAACTAAACTAATTTTATTTATACTGGATAGCTCTATCAGTTCTAAACTGTTCTTCCCAGAGGTCCAGTAAGGATCATCATCATCATCTCTTATTGACCCAGTGTTACTACAGGAGGAAACCTAAACTAAACTAACTTTATTTATACTGGATAGCTCTATCAGTTCTGAACTGTTCTTCCTAGAGGTCCAGTAAGGATCATCTCTTATTGATCCAGTGTTACTACAGGAGGAAACCTAAACTAAACTAACTTTATTTATACTGGATAGCTCTATCAGTTCTAAACTGTTCTTCCTATAGAGGTCCAGTAAGGATCATCTCTTATTGATCCAGTGTTACTACAGGAGGAAACCTAAACTAAACTAATTTTGTGACTTTCGTCGAAAAGATGAAAGACCCACGCACTATATAACCATTGTCAAAACAAAAATTTTGTATTGCAGAAAATTTCCAAATCCTTCCAGCCCAACAACGACCTCATATTAGAAATTGAACAACGACAGGTGTCCACGATCAAGTCTATTCCTGATTGAAGTGTGATATGATTTCTCAGGCCAGTATACTGTCTATAGTGTAACACCATGCTTTTATTTGACGAGACGAAAATAGCATCTGGAGGTGAATTTTTATTTAAGAATTTCAGCTGTAACTTGTAAGTACAATCACTGGTCGGTGCCAATGTAGGTAGGGGCGATGACAAGACATCTGTGGATCGAGAGGGATATAACTACCTGAAAAATAGAGGGGTGGATCCAGCAAGGTTTTTCTAGGGGGTGCTGGGTGAGTAGCCGAGTGTTTCTTTATAATTCTTTAGGGGGTGATGGGAGAGCATTCAAATGAATTGGCTTCCTAATGACTCGAGCGCTGAAGACACAAGCTCGCCAGGGCTATGCCCCCCCTGAAAATTTTGAAAATTAGAACCCTGGAAATACCATTTCCTGCGATATGGGCATTGAATTATGAACTTCAGTTTGACTTCAAAAAAGGGAAAACCTTGGAAATTATGCTATATTTCTGAATTTGATTTTTTTGCACCCCTGTTGACCAAGGCCAACAGGGGTGCGCACCCCTGTGCACCCCCCTATAAATCCACCCCTGGAAAAACATAACCAGAACTTCGACGTTTCGAGTGAAGGCACTTCGTTGCGAAGTTAGGCTGCGTTTAGGCTGGGTGTCCGGCATTTGTTTTGGTGCCTAGTTTGAACACGACGCTTCCAAATGAAATTGGGCACAGTGCCCAAGAAAGGGCACTGCTTCTAGAGGTAGTACTCAACAACGGCACTGTGCTCAGCATGTTTTGGGCACCAGTTTGAACATTGGGCACCAGTGCCGGTCACTCAGTCTGCCGGACGAAGGATTCAGCTTGTGTTTTTAGGTAGTTGTATGTTTGTCAATTCACAGCTGTTTTCAATCACTAGTCTGTACAAAGTACAATCTTAATTCAAAACATAATACCAAGCCTGGTGGCTCTAAATAGGAATTCCATTGCAAATAAAAGAAGACCTCGTATTTGCTGAATGCACACGATACACACATTGTAATAACGAGGTGGTCCAGTGTGGGTAGTATTCTACAATAAGCTGTCGTGGTTTGTGTCTGAACTACCTGAAAAAGATATCTCAAACGTGGTGCTCTAGTGTAGGTAGTATTCTATCATAAATTACCGTGGTTTGTGTCTGAACTACCTTAATTAAAATTGGTTAAAAATACACAAGCATACTTTGTAAATATATAATTTTAATTTGTTCACTTTAAATATAATGCAACGAATCTTGGAGAGTGTACGAAGATTTTTGACTCACATTTAAAATACTGCATGAGAACAGTGGTAACTAGATAGGCTGTCTGGGCATGCTACCGCAAAATGTGAATTGTTTATTGGCTTGCCACTGATACCGGTTTCGTTGGCTTAAGGTCAAGTTATCTGCCTACTGCGCGAGCTCTTATTTGTGGCACATATCACTGGCGTATCTAGATCCATTCTCAACAATTCTCATCATCTGTATTCTATGAAACATCGAAGATGGCCGACAACAGGATGAGGTAAGACCCTTTAAGATTATCCCAGGTATTACATGTATATAACTGTTTAATAATGTAGAATTCACACCGATGATGATGTTGAATATATTTTGTGTTTCGAGGAGCTGAGATTCTAGAATTACAATTGCGTGATCATTTTTGACCAATCAATCCCAAGTTTCCAACTTGTTAAATTCATTGTCGAACTGCAGTGTAAGTTCATTCTTGTAAGTTGTATAAGTTGCCTATTCCTGACAACAAAATGTACATATATTTATTTTATGCATTCCGAATTTCAGGGTCAATTGCATGCCATGAACAATACTGAATAGCAACGATAATTAATGACACATGAAGATCCTGTTATTCAATGCCTTAGTTCATTTATTTATTTATTCGCCTTGTGCATATTAGGGGCGGACCATTAGAAAAGTGATTATAATTTCATCTCACTCATGTGAGAAGACTACTAGCCCGCGTGCAGGCCCAAGGGAACTGATAGAAGACTACTTCCAGTTTGACTCTACCAAACAACGCAGAATTACTTCTGTTTGGTACCCTGATATAGCACTTGACCAATAAGTGATGGATGACCACAGATCAGTGGTCAGTTGCCCTTCATACTTCAATCGTTCTAAAATACACTAAAAATTAATTTTCCATAACTGCCCGTCTTTTCCATAACTAGTGTCCGCGCGTCAGTGCCCGTGTTTTCCAATATACCATAATTAAAGTTGGCAAGGGCTGGATCGTTTTAGATATCTTGGTAGGGGAAGGGGGTGGCAGATAAAAAAATTCATGCAAAGAGTAGAGTTTTGAAAGAAAAAAAACACGGGTCGATTGTTCGAAAGCCGATAAGCTAATTATCAAGAGCAAACACACCGCCCATTTCTTCGTAATGACAGCAGGGTGACGCCTTTTGAATACTGGAAAAATATTCTCATGAAAACCGTGCTCCGATTATACTGATTCGATTATAAATACGGTACATTGCATAATAGTAAGATCTAGACCAATCGTGTCAATAGTTCGGTCACATGAAGCATTTGACAGTCAACACAAAATTTTAGATCCTAGTCTTAAGAAGTCTTAAGGCTATAGTTTCCACTCAGGAAAATTATCATCCGTGGATTGGAACGGACAAGAAAATTTCTCTTTGTGTTAAAGTCATTAGTTCCAACCCAGAGCTCACAAGACAAAGAAAAATTTTCTTGTCCGTTCCAATCCACGGATAATTTTCCTGAGTGGAAACTAGCCTATAGGCATTGAAGACCGCAGATTGCTTGATATTTCGACAAACACCGGGCAAAACACAGTTTGCTGTCATGACCACCCTTGAAACCAAGGACTTACGGGCCTCGTCTGCTGTCAACATATGCCCGTATTCCGCGCAAAAAATATTTCTATCAAATTTTAAACTGACGTAAATATCTCGAAAAACTATTCAATTTAAGCTCTAGATTAACAAAATAAAGGTTTAGTGAGTGTTCCAACTATGTTTTAAGTATTCATTTTATCAGATTTAGTTTTCACCATATAAAAGATCTCGGCTTTAAATTAAGAACACAGTCATATAAAAATACAAAATTATTATATTTGACCCTCGCAACGTCTGTTTATTTGAAAATTTCAGAGAAGAAAACTCCTACCGATCCAGACATGATTTCTAAAGGAACATTTCCAAATTTACAAACAAACTATTCAAAGTTTGCTTTGAATTTTAGCTTAAAACCCGCGGAGACATATCGCCTTCGTTTCTGCGTGATGAATTTTCAGCAAAAATGCTAGATTCAACAGCTTTTGGGTTTCGCCCAATTTTCTTCAAATTTTCCCAGACGACACACGAGAACCACGGCTACAAAAGTGTGTGGGGTAGCTATATGATTTCATTTTTTTTATTTATTGCCCTTCGAACACAAAACAACTTAGTTAAAACGAAGGTTTAGAAAGACAGTTATTTATCATTAAACATAAGTGTTATATAGAGTTTTTGGCCACTGAGAAAAATCGTATTTAAACACACATACCGACCTCCTCCGCAGGCCCTTTTCCGGGCACATTTGCGGGCGGTGTAAATTTGCGGGCCAACACACATAAAAAATACAACATTTTTACGTGTGAAAATGTCATTTTTGCAAGCCAATCAAAAAGCGCGTAGGAAATATGTTTGACCAATGAGAGAACTTGTTGTAAAACGCTTTGCTACGGACGTTTTATTGTTTTTCAATTATCGCTTTTCAAAGACTGTCCCTTATATAATAAACAGAAAAATACATGGATGCTTGGAAATACCAGATTTATTTCTTGTGTTGAACATGATATCTCACTCGCCGCTGCGCTCACTCGTGAGATATCATGTTCAACACTCGAAATAAATCTGGTATTTCCGCGCACCCATGTAATTATTCTCTATATGTTCCAAAAAGAACGGACAACCTGTTACAGGTGGCCTGTAGCCACAGCACACACTTTTTGTAGAGGCATTATTTCACTTTCCACGATCCTTACTTTGCAGGGATTTGATTAAAACCACAGCCTAATTAACGCACAACTTTTCGCGTGAAGTGAGTGCGTTTTTCCTTCGTCCGTAAAATAAACGAAACCTTGATAAATGGTGAAATACTGTGTACATTCACTGATTCAACATTCATTGTACTATAACCGGTCACAATTCTGAAAACACAGCCCGCAATTTGAACTTTTGTGAATGATGCATGCACGCGACGTGTTTCGTAACTGTAATCCTTTGTACGAATACTCAATCATCTGGATATTAAGGGCCTGTTTACTCTTGTAATTTTTGCTGCGATTTTCTTTGATGGATGTGAAGGAGTGGATGAGTTAGGAATGTTCAGATGAGGAGGGTCCATGTACTCCAAACATTCGTAACTTATTTACTCATTCACATCATCAGAAGAAGAAAATCGCACTATATATAGAAATGACAGCAAGTGTAAACGGTCTTTAGAAATTGAAGTTTAATTAAACGTAATTTGACTTTCAAATGAGTTTATACAGCCCTTGCATGTGGTCTGTGACTATGTTGACTGCCGGTGAGTAAGCCATGGATTGTAAACTAAACAATCCGTATAATCCTGAAATTCTAGTATCTACAATCTGTTCTTTCACGAAAAGTGGGTCTTTTTAAACTATACAGTATAGTTCTTTAGCAGAAAGGTAAAATTTGGTTCTGTGACTGCGGTTACGAAATAAAGTGCCGTCAGCGCTGAGTCGGGCTATATTTCCGTCAGATTCGGATACTTCATTGTAAAGGTAAGTCGCCTCGTGTCTTGCTGTGGTATTTTGTGAAGTAAATACGGTAAAAGTACAGTAAACTTAGACCTTAGTATTATAGTCAAGTCAGACTTATTATATATTGTCATGCATTGTACATTTCTATGCAATTTCAGCCCCGCATGCAGCAACTGAGTGATTATATCTTGTATGAATTTTCAACCGCCCACGGGCAAGTCCAAGGCAGAATTTGGCTTTGTGTGTTGTGATAACATTT